AATGTCAAGTTTGTTAACTCTCGCTTTAAAGTCCTAAGAGAGTTGCTCAAAAGACACGATTTTGACCGATTACTTGGAAACGGGTCAAGTTATCCAAAAATCGTACTGTGCAAGCACAGATTCTGAGATCGTTGAGTTCGTACATATGGAAAGACGGACGAACGGACAGACAGACTATGGACATGGCTAGATCGGTTATTGTTACAGTTCAAGAATGTGTATACTTTATGGGGTGGCATCTTTCTGTCTGTTACATACATATACACATATACGTTATATTCTTTGTATCCATTTTAAATGGACTCAGCGTATAAAAACAATGCTAATGAAAAAAATTATCCCAGACACTATGTGATAAAACAATAACAGGAAAAACGAATTAGGCAAAATTAATGGAAGAAATCTAATCCAAACAATCTAATCCAATCAGCGTTTATTTGGTAAAGAATTTTGCCAACAGGCAAGCGTTTGTCAAAATACTATCAGACACATTCCAAACATATACTTTTGATATGAAATACCGATCATAAGGAGACACGCAATGTAATAAATAGCAACTGCTTCTAACAGCTGATTTTGATTGTGCAGTAATATTCGACAATGTACAACAATAAAAAAACAACGCTTACCATGTGAGTAAAAAATTAAAAATTGCAAGACTCAGACTACAAAACAAAAAAAAAAAAAAAAAAAACAAGGCGCAGTATATATAAAGGTCATGACGATACTATAATTAAGAGCTGTAATATGTATACTTACTGTGTTCTTTAAAAAAATGTTTGTTAAATGTTCCCGATAAAATTGCGACTGGGGATAAAAAGAACTCTAATTATACATATATGGTCTATATGAGATTGAGTAAGACGTCGAAAAAACCCCGCATCTTGGCTATTTTTATTGTTATATTTTTTTTATTGTAAAAAATAAATTAAAGTGATAAATATATTAATAATTGATGCCTGACATTCAACTATGGAACACTTCAATGGCGAATCACTCATAATGCAGCATTCTATTTGATTGATTTTCACATGACATTTATTTCCACCAAGCTCCTTTCACTTGAAGAGCAATCAAAAGATAATGAGATAAAAAATTAGGACAAATTAGAATTTTTACAATCACATTCTCTAAAAGCTGATAAACAAATGACATACTTAACATTTAGCTTAGCTTTAATTTATATATTAATAAAATTTCTAGAATGTTATATTCTATTGAAGCTCAGCGTTTGGTTGATAACCTTAGCAATCTTACTCTTTCGGTTCATTTAAAAATTTTGGCAAACGGTACTGGGATGCCAAAAATTAAAAAAATCGTTGAACATATATTTAAAATTGTATGCTTAGTTCCAAAACGTAAGGAAATACAATGGACTGTGGACAGGGCAAATCATGTAAACAGGTGTAAGTGGATGGCTTGACTACTTTTACCCCATAAAAGTGAAACATGGGAAAATGGATAAAGACAATTGTCCAAATGCTTGCAACGGGAGAAGGATAAGGGAGAGTTAACCCCGTTAAGCCGTGGTCCATATCAAAAGCTGTATGGATATGATATTCGAGGATCAGTAGATCAAGATGGGGTTTCGGGAAATTTCACCGGCACGTATGGAATAATCGCGAAAAACGTTTGCACAAAAATTTTTTGTCTACCATCCAATTGGTCTAATAGCCTCTGACCACTTGTTTCAGAAGTGCACATTTATAAATTTCACAAAATGGTGTTCCACCGGTTGGCGGTAACATGTGAGTGGCGAAAGTACCGCTTTTTAAAATAAACAGCTGATCGAGTTTCTTTAATTTATATAAGCGCCGTAAAGTTTTTCTTTCGCCATGTTTAAATTCTAAAAACTGTGGGATTATTCTCATTTTAAATTTCTTACTAAAGTTGCCGCTTGCCTTCGTTGATCAATCAGCTGTTTATATTTCCGATACTTTACCATTTTTAACAACATCGATAGAAATCTCGATTAATCATCGCAAAAAACATGAAATGTTCGCTGCGAATTTACTCATTTCTGAAAAATGGGCCTTTTTTAAAAGATGTGTGAAATGTGTTTTTTTATGGGGAAACGAACAGGGCGCATTTCACACATTTGGAAATGGGTCAAATTCATTTTCAAAGATCTATGTGCAAAATCATTTATAACATGTTTCACATTTTCGCAAAATCGAAACTCCTTCGGTGAAAAATACATTTCAAGGATTTATATTTGGTGAATTTTAAGTGTTGTCCGATATGCGTCAAACTTATTTTCAGAGCTGTACATAAGAATATAATGAATACGTGTTTCAGCGATATGGGAAATTCTACTCTTAACGGTTGTAAATTGAAGGAAAACGTTTGAGTAAAAGTTGTTTGTTTTCCGTCCGATCAGCTTTAAAATAATTTTCAAAGCGTTTTGAAAACATCGATTTTATAACATACGTGCCACGGGCTAGGCCGGGCTATTATACCCGCTAGTATATTTATATATAAATACACGTGTAACGGGAGTAAAGTTTTTAAAAATCAAATTTTCAAAGTTGCATCAAAAATTGAAATATATCGATATCCAAACGCCGAATCTTCATTAAGAGCCAGAATGTCTCGATGACCTTAAGTTTCCTGGCGCTTCAGACCAAAAATATAGTCACTTCTAATCCATATATTAAGGGCTATTTAATTATTTTTTCTCGATTTCGCCAATGTACCGAACATTCTCTTTACACAGTCTTTGTAAATATTGAAGACTTAATATTTCTTGGTGGCCTGTTATATTGGGGGATGTTGACGCTGACGTTGGGCCAGTAGAACCAATAATAATAATATAATATTTCGTTACCCCTAATTCGTTACCCCTTAATTCCTCAGCTAATTATTTCAACATTTTTTTGTTGTTATTTTTGTGCTACTTCGATTAAAGATTTTGTCTGTCTACCAAACCGTGACGAATTGTCTGCATCCATAGGTCGCGGTTGTTTCAGTTTTGTAGGGGTTTAAATGGCAGGTTTTTCTATGTGGGGCGCTTGCCTGCAAAAGTGAAGTCAAGTTGATTCATTATTATAAGCTTTGACATTGAAAGGGGTTCGAAAGACGTTAGCTGGACCTTTAACTTTATTTCTCATTATAACTAAAGATGTATGTCTATGTCTATATAGTGTTACTAAGGTTATCCCTCAATGTCTGGCTTTTATAATGTCTAAAGTTTTACTGCACAGAGCAATTGTTTGAATTTCCCTCTCTTTGTAAGTTTCTGCCTCTAGAGTTCCGACATTACTACTGCTGCCTAAACATTGTCTTTAATCTTGTTTTTTTTTTTTTTGAGCCTCAATTTTCATTTCTTGAGCGGCAAGTGCGATATTTATTTCGGTTTCTCTTAATATCTGCAATTGTTTTGTTGGCATTGCCATAATAAATTTGTTTTATTTGATTTTAAACACTTCGCAATGATTTTTGTTGTTGTATTTTTCACTGTCTAATTTTTAAAATTGTTCGAGTAAATCATTTATTTGACTATCACTGATATAGGGCTTTTGTTTATTTTTATATAGTGTTACTTCCCAAAGATTGGGAGCATAGCTTTGTAATTGCAGCTTTGTTTGCAATATAAAACAAGTAAGAGGTTTTTGTCGGGAGCTCCCAACTGGGGGATACCCTGAACCCTCTTCATCCAACATCAAATGCATATATATATTCTATTTTAGAAGCTATATGTCAAGTTTGGTGACTCTAGCTCTTATTATTTACCGGAATTGCCCACAAAACAGGATTTCGATATCGATTTTTATCAATTGCTTGGAAACGGAGTAAGTTATCGATTATCGGTCTGCCCAGGCACTACATATAAAATTTTAAGTCTCTAGCTCTTTTAGCTTCTGAGATTCTTGCGTTCACACATACGGACGGGCGGACGGACGGACGGACATACAGACGGACATGGCTAGATCGACTCGGTTATTAATGCTGTTCAAGAATATATATTCTTTATGGGGTCGGAGATGCTTCCTTCTGCCTGTAACATACATTTGGATATGCACACATACAATATACTCTTATACCCATTTTTAATGGATTCAGGGTATAACAATTAAGAGGCTCCCGACTAGGGAACAACCTGAACCCTCTTTTTCCAACACGAAATATATTTAAAAAAAAATCCCTTGGCAGAGTTCGAGCTCGCAACTGACCGCATTACTTGCTGTCGACTCTACTCAACAGCCACACCAGCAAAAAACAAAAAAAAATACTTTCCCCTCTACTCAGCAGCCACACCAATAATTAAGTACTTATGATAAAAAAGGAACTAAAATAGCATTACAGAAAAATATCGCAATTACAGTACATGTATATAGAAATTCTTAAAGCTACTGCCCCATTCGATTGCGCAGTTGCATATAACTTTGGTTTTTTTTTAACCGATCTTCTATTCTAACAAAGTCAATTGCATTTAAATTGTAGCTTAAATTGGTTGGCAATATAAGTTGGGTTAGTAACTTGATTTATAGCTGTTGGTGGGTAGCGGGGAGGTGGCAATAGGAATAAAATGAAAGATACTTGACATATAAATAATATTCTAGTAGCAATATATCATGTTTGGTGGCTCTAGCTCTCATTATTTACCCACTTTGATAAAAAAACAGGATGTGGATATCGATTTTTATCGATTGCTTGGAAACGGAGTACGTTATCGATTATCGGAAACTCGATCTGCGCTGGCACTAAGAGCACCTACATCTAATTTCAAGTCTCTAGCTCTTATAGGTTCTGAGATCCTTGCGCTCATACATACGGACAGACAGACAGACGGACATGGCTAGATCGACTCGGCTACTGGTGCTGATCAAGAATATATGTCCTTTATGGGGTAAGATATACTTGCTTCTGCCTGTTACATACATTTGGATTTTCACAAATACAATATACCCTTATACCCATTTTTAATGGCTTCAGGGTAAAGATAGGATATCAATGAGCCGTCCACTAATGTGCTCTTATTTAATTCCTATAAACTGCTTAAGTCATTGTAGGGTTTGTTGTTGTTGTAAACATTTTTCATTCGCTGCCGTCGGTGGTGGATTGTATGCTGCTTCTGCCCAACAACAAAAATCAACTCTGTTCTGCATTCGGGCTCTTTCTCCTCAGGCTAGTCAATCTATTAGCAGCAGCAGCCCTCGGCCTGCAACATGATTCACACTTTTCCCTGATAAGCCGGCAACAAATGAACGGACGGGCTCGCTAGAGTCAAGGAGTCGGTTGCTATCGTGTTAAGCACAGAGTTCTTCTGTGGGCTTCCAAAACCACAATGTCCGCCTATTTCCAGAGATATCGGATCCTTTCGTATAACCGCCTTGAGTATAACAAATCTGTAAGCGAGAAAGAAGAGTTCAATAAAATTTTCTTAATGGAACTTCAGATTTCGTGGACTCACCTGCACATGTGCTGCAAGCTTTGTACATGCTTAAATCTAGATACTGGATTGGTTAATTGCACGCGCATTGGTCCATGCTCCGGTCGACGATGCAGGAAGAATAAATATCTGTAAAATACAATATCAATGCAAATTGCTTATAAATATATATAATATATTGGGCGATTGTTTGTGTGTCCTTTGGCGAAACGTACCTGCCGCTGCGCGAATGTTCGACCGCCTTCTCAATGAACTCGGTTATAGTTTGGGATTTGAACTTGGCATACGAGCCAAACGAGAATGTGCCTGGAATGAAGGGAGAAAGAAAGAGAGAGAGAGAGAGGGAGATAGAGAACGACAGAAAGAGGGAGAGATGAGTAATTATTAGGAATATATGCAATAACTATAAAATATAAATGGGATTTAATTGTATTTTCAAATTATAAAATACGATCCAATTAACTCGTTGCCTAATCAACGAGTAAACGAACGGATTTGAATGCGACGAGTAGGCTATATGAATGAAAAGCTATATAGTTTTTTAAGTTTGCCTTATCAAATTTTGTTTTTACTTAGTATTTAACTATCAAACGTAAGCTAATTAAAGTATACATGTAATGAATTTCGACGTGCGCCACAGAAACTTTCTTTCAAAACTAACGAGTAACGAGCTTAGCTTATTCGGGCCTATTGGCTCAATTCAATTGAATTCAAATAGTTATCAGTTCGAAGTCAAACAACGTTTCATGTGATTTAGCGTGCGCGTCTACACTAAACCATTTTATGACCATGCACAAAAAAAAATATTTTAAAAGAACCTTAAGATGCGTTATTGATATTCTACACATGAAAGCGTTTATGTCTGTAACTTACCCTGATCCTGTTCGATGCGCACATGGCGCACGGAATTGTTTAGCTTGAAGCTCAACGAGAATATGTAATGATCATCGGAGCTGTCACGCACAATGAACGAGCCATCGGCTCATTGGAGAGCACCTTCTCGGCGGCCTCGCTGGACAATGGACCCCAATACCAGCCGTACTGTAGAAAGCAAAACTGATTAATACCGAGTAACGACTAACGAAAAAGGAGTAGCGAGTAGGATCTAGTGAATAACGGGAAAAGGGTAACAAGTAGCAAGCAATAACTAGTGAGTAACGTGTTAATAGCAGCGACCAGCGAGAACGAGTAGCCGGTAACGAGTAAGAAGAAGGGTGTAGGGAGTAGCGTAAGGGAGTAGCGAGTAGCAATACGAGTAAGTACTAGTGAGTAACGAGAAGCGACTAAAATGTAGCAAAAAGTAGAGAGTTGTAAATTAAGGACTAGCGCTTAAAGAGTAACGAGAAATAAGTAATGATTAACGAATAACGAGAAGAAGCGAGCAGCGAGAAACGAAAAGCAAACATAAAGTAACGAGTAGTGAGTGTGTACGTACATCTTTGACTTTCTCAATGCTTGAGGTAAACTGCAGCGCACGCGGCTCTTGAGCTCCGGTGCTCTTCTTTTGCTCCGGCGCTCTTCTTTTGCTCCTTCGGCTCCGTTTCGGCGGCGTCAATGGCATAAGCTGAAAAGCAATTGGCGCATACAATTGAATACAATTACGTCAATAATTGGACCATACACGAACCTTTCTTTGGCAATGGCGCCAGAGCACGCGACTGAAACTTCTTGCGTAGATCAGCGCTCGGCTCGCTGCGATTAAGGCAATTGTTCGCCTCCTCCGCATCCGTTGGATTCGACGCAGAATTTGCCGTCGCTGTTGTTGCCACCGTCGCATTCACAGCAGTGGCATTGGCTGTTGCATCCGCAGCCGCTGCTGCTGCTGCTGCCGCTGTCGCCGCATTGGCGCGACAGTGACTGTGATTGCTGCACCGAAAGCGAAAGATGCTGCAGAACTTTTGCTTAAGGCTAAGCGAGAATTGTGACTTCTTTTCCGTCTGCAGCAGATGCTTGTTATTATTGTTGACCTGCTGCTGTGCATCCGATGCCAGCAGCTTGTCCGACGAACTGGGCAGCTGTGTGCCGATCGTCGTCGTGGTGACGCCGACGCTCCCGCCGGCTACGCTGAGAGTCGTATTCGTGGCGGCAGTTGCTGCTGCTGATGCGCCGGCGGGTTGTTGTTGTGCTGTGCATAATTGTTGCTGCTGCTGTTGTTGTTGTTAATCAGCTTATCATTGTCTATATTATGTTTGCTCTTCTTGCTCAGATATTTGGCAGCGCTGTCCGCACCACCGCGATTGGTGCCCGTCTCGTTGGGATTTTTATTCTTTCACTGCTGTTGTTAAAAATGTTGTTGCTGTTCGATGCCCGCAAAACCGCTGATGGTGCATCTTAACATTGTTGTTGGGTAATTGAGTTAACTTATATAGCAATATAGTCCTCTTAATGTGAGTGGACAGGCGTAGTAAGATATTAATTGCTGCAATGACAAATCAGTAAATTAAAAAAAAATATTGATTGATAATTGAGTTTTTATTGTGTTTTTTCATTAAATAGAATCCAGAAAACTTGGTAGCTTTTGTTTTTCCTTCAACGCCAAACCATGTGTCAAACGATGCTCTTCAACAATCATCACCGCACAATTCAACGGAATATCCACAACCACATACTACTCGTACAGAATGTGTAGCTGCAAATGTGTGTGGCAACGATGTACCGGAATTAGCGCAAGATACAAGTACACTGTCAAACACTTTACCTGGTGTTGGAGCAAATGGGTCTCTTATAGTTGCCGGCGAGAGTATTTCCGAATCTGCTGGCTTAGAACAAATCGTCAGTGTGGTACCACCAACACTTTTAACGACGAAGTCTGCAACAGGTCATGGGAATAATCAAAAACTAAGTGCGGGAACTGATAATTTACCGCATACCACACACCATCCAGCAGCAACATCAGCACAAGTAAGTTGGTTTTTTATTCTTCTAGTTCTTTGTTAAAATTGTTTAATTCTCTCTAGGTGACTAGCCTTAGTAATTCCTCTGGTTGCGAATCATATCTTACATCAGAAGCTGGACGATGCGGACTTGAACTGACGTCATCTGTAAATGCTCAAGGAATTACTTTAAGCAACAAAATAGTAACACCACTTGGGATGGAGACTCCAGTGCAAAAGCCTACGATTCCTTTGGGTACTCCCTTTACTTCCGTCACAATAGCACCATTACATGGTTCATTCGGCGAGCGAACTTCCAATTTATTGCTTGCAGCCAATATTAAATCTAAAGATAATTCAATGCTGAGCATGGATGGGCTAGCAACAGCTGCATCCCTAGATTCACAGAAGTCCACTAATAGCTCAATACCCACGTCTACATCCTCAATTGCTAATGGATTCCTTTCTGGTCATACATCTGTTAGTTGTGTAACATCAAATGTTGGAAGTGTTCTTTCACATATCGCTCCACACTCAGGAAACAAGGTGCTTTCTGTTCCTATGACTTTGCCACCTATTACGGCAGTTAGTTCTGGTGCAGCTGCGGCCTCCGGCATTTCAAAAACAACAGTTAGTACAGGAAGTAGTCCAGTTGGAGCTGCAGGCTCTTCATTAGTATTTCATGGTGCGCCCCCACTGATGCCTCATTCGGGTGCAGGCCTACCTATGCTTATTCAGGCTACACCATACCGTACTTCCTTTCCCCACTATTCAGCTTTATATACACCATATAATAATATAGCACATGGACAATACCTGTCGCAAGTGATACCAATAGGGTCTTCTAATACCTCGTCGTCGCCTCAGCGTTCGGATGCTCGCAACAGTCGAGAGTCGGCGACAACATCATCTTTAAAAGCACCAGTAACAAGCGCATCTACACATCATCAGTACAGTGTCAGCGGCATCGGAGGAATGCGATCTATTACGCCACTTGGTTATGTGATTTCCAATAATAATACAACCCAGGTATTAGGGACAATGGCTACAACAACGGTAACGACAGTACCTTTGTTAAATTCGACGCACTCACGACACTTAACAGCTAACGCCGCAGGTGCGTTTGGGGTTACTACCGCCGGATCAGCTATTGCAACATCACAATTGTCTACATCCTCCGGAATTCCAGTTGCGGCTACTTCACAATTACAACCATCTGCACCAATGCAAATGCTACCACAAACTGGGTATCCAACTCACCTTCCTCAAGTACTAAGTTCATATCCGCAGTTCGCACCTTCAACGTCGATACCACAGCAGCAAATTTTACGATGCACTACCACTTCTGCTAATGGCATAAGTAATACTTCAGTTCTGACTGTACAAAGTTTAATGACAGCGATGCCATCGACGTCAATAACCGCATCTATAGCATCGTCATCTGTGATTCAAAAAATAGTTTCGCCCAAATGCGGGAGCCCTAGCAGAGATCGGGACACAAGCTACAGGTATTATAATTTAATAATAATTATAATTAATTTCATAATACGACCAATATCTACTAAAATAATAATATATCTATGTATACAATTGGTTGTCCTCACTGTCAAAATAATTACCAACGCACAGCCCAAACACTAAAGGCTACGAAGCTGATATTTCTCTTAAAATTTCCTTTGGGGTAACAAATGAATGCGGAGCTATAAAGATGTCTGTAAATTTCGGTTATATTTTTATGCCCTGAACCCATTAAAAATGGGTATAAGGGTATATTGTATTTGTGCAAAATCCAAATGTATGTAACAGGCAGAAGGAAGCATCTCCGACCCCATAAAGTATGTATATTCTTGATCAGCACCAATAGCCGAGTTGATCTAACCATGTCCGTCTGTCTGTGCGTCTGCCCGTCCGTCCGTATGTATGAACGCAAGGATCTCAGAACCTATAAGAGCTAGAGACTTGAAATTTTAGATGTAGGTGCTCCTAGTTCCCGCGCAGATCGAGTTTATTTCCGATAATCGATAACTTACTCCGTTCCCAAGCAATCGATAAAAATCGATATCGATATCATGTTTTTTGGGCAATTTTGGTAAATAATAAGAACTAGAGTCACCAAACTTGACATATAGCTTCTAGTATAATATATATATATGCATTAGATGTTGGAAGAAGAGGGTTCAGAGTATCCCCTAGTCGGGAGCTCCCGACTAGAACCTCTTACTTGTTATTGCTATTTATTTGACAATGGGGATACCGAGTATTTTTGAATGTATGTAATAGAGAGCTGCATGAATGAAAAAAAAAAAAACATTCTAATGAACAATGCCAGAAATGAGTTAAGTGAAATTGAATGCAAAGACGAATATGTTTGAAAGTGTAGTGCGGCCACGTAGAACTGGGACGAACAAGAAAGAAAACGAATTTAATGAGTGGTAATGCGATGGAATAAGAGGTTTTGTTTCGAATGCATTCGAATGACCAACCGCTTTTTTAATTGTCATTGTCTCGTCGCGAATAAAAAAAAAGGCAAAATGAAAAATAAGAAAGGGAAGAAAAACCAAAACAACTAAATGCGCATGCAAAATAAGTACAGAGAATCGCCGTTTTTTCTTCGCCCATTTCCTTTGACTGCTTACGTCTGTTATATCAAAAGAAATGAAGACACGCACTCGAGTAATTCCAGTTTCTTCGGTTGTGCCAAATTTTTCATTCCGCTTTACGCTTTATTTATTCTCACTCATTTCGCTGAATGCCGTCTTGTATGGGACACAACACGTACTCACATTGGTACTCATTCGTTGCATTGTGAGCCTCGCACTCACTCAATTCAATTCGAGTCCATTCAATTCAACGTATGTTGAGAACGAAGCCATGCAACTCTCTAGTATGTAACATGTAAGGACTATGATAAAACAAGTAGAACCAATGTGTATCTTCGGTTTTATTCTATCCTTACTTTGTGAAATAAGAAATTGATATGAATGCGTGAACATTGTGGGGTTGGGGAGCATGTTATTGCATAATAAGATAGGGAATATTTTACCGGCTTAGCCAAAAAGAGATGGGGCTGTCGCGGCGGGAAATCAATTAATATTTTTCTACACCTTGAGCAATTTAATTATTTATTTTAATCGGATGAAAAATAAATAACCTCCTTTTTCGGCGAGCTGAAAATTAAATACACTCTTAGAATTGATGTTGTTCCGATGTTGATAGGATTTGGCTCATATAAAGCTTAGTGGTAGTATGGCCAAGATATATTAATAAACAAGATTTTAATTATCGACCGATTGTTTTCATATTTGCTATATCGGGGTCCACAAACAATCGACCAAAAAAAAGCCACTCAAATTGCGACAAAGTATCTATGTACTATGTACGACTCTCATCCTACATCCCTTCAGTCTATTAATTACTTATTATCTTATCCACATCGAAAAATGTATCTTCCCCATTGTCCCTACTGCGACCTAATCAATAATTTGTGCATTCCTTGCTTAAATAGATTATTCTTCATATATATTCTCTCTTATATTTAAAATATATCTCATTCTTCGTTGGGGTTAGATTACTTTTAATTGACAAAGTAATAAAAATAAAAATACAAAAGAAAAAAATCGATCATTGCTTACACATTTCCATTTCATAACAAGTATTTTATTATTATCGACTTTTTCCTTAATAAACATAAATAAATATATGAATTGACAATTGCTTATCAATGTGCACCGTCGAACTGTCGCTTGTTAGAGGACGACGCACATAGGCTCATAAATTCGAATTTTTTGCTTTCGTCTCAAATGAACGCTTCTGTTAAAATTGCAGCTTCCTAGCGCTTTCAGTTTGGGCTATGT